GAGAGAGAGAGAGAGAGAGAGAGAGAGAGAGAGAGAGAATACAATGATATTCTGTGTGACTGTATATCTCGATTGAGTGGAAGGCCTTTCAAGTCATGCATTGACTTAATTAAAAAACACTGACAAAAGAAAACGAAACAAAAAAATTGTTCGCTAAATGATAGTCTCATATCGTATTCACTCATTCAGTAGTGTTTTATTTTTTGTTAAATTCATTTTCAATGTCAGCGCATAATAAGATACCTCACGTTATGTCATATATCACACTATAATCTTAATAGCGTAGGGAAGGAAGGGGAGGGATGGAGGGGAGAGAGAGAGAGAGAGACTAAAGAGAGAAATAATAATTAATTCAATAATTCATTTGGCGATAAATCATATTTTTTCTGACACTTTGTGTTCATTATGAGTGCACAACAAAAGAGGAAATATTTTTCTTATATATTTGTGAATAATATCTTGAAGTTTATGTTAGAGTTTTGTGAGTCTATGAGAGCAGACCAGTGCTGAGCCTCTCTTTCTAAGTCAGTCACTCGCTATCCCATAGTTAACAGGAGAGCACAGGTATTATAACAATAGAAACATTTCATTAGCTTAACAAAGTAGTGATCATTACTTTTTAAGCACTCTATCCTTATCTTTATTGTATAGAAATGCAAAACACTTCTCGTTATTAACAATTTTAATGAAAAATATAACATAAAAAACTTTTAGCATAATTTAAGTGCAGTTATTATTATTATTATTACGAAACAAAAGCGCTATTTATCAGAAGCTGAATATAATTGTTTGGATCATTGCTGAGGTTGTTATTCAGTAGAGACTACTTAACAATATATTATAAACATTATATGAAAATAAAATACAATTTAATAATTATCATGAAAAATGCAAACAATTATGTTAATCACAGTTAAGGCCTCTGAGCAGCCAATGGTATATTTAATAAAATAATAATTCAATATATTTGACACATAGAGCACACATATATAGCCTGTAAAGCCATATATGATTTATTGGACTAATTAAGTGAGAATTTCTCAAAAACTTATTAAACATTGAAAATCCATTTTCCAAACCAATAGACAAATCAGTCGAAAACGGCTTTTATTTGCAATTATTATTTTTCCACTCATTTTATTTTGTAAAACAAGTGCCAAAAGACATTAAAATACATTAATATGTGTTGAGAAATAACACAACAAATATAAAAAAGAGCAAAATTATTGAGAAAAAATTATTAAAGTTGTTGTCTGTGTTGTGAGTGAAAAGGTCTGTAAGAATTGGTGGAAAGGCAGGGAAGGGAAGGGATTGTAAATTTTGTGGAACGGCAGGAAAAAAGTGATATTGATTTGATTTTTGCTGTTTCTCTCGTTGTGTTGAGTGTCAAGTAATTTATTGACTCAATTCAATAGATTGTGGACTTCCAGAGAGTGAGAAATATAATGAGAATTTCTCTCTAAAATCGCTCCAAAACTTAAATGAGAAAATAATAATAACAAAAAATAATAAAGAGTTGTTTTTAATGGTCTTTAATAATGAACGATAGATTGAAAAGAGAGAGAAAAATAATAATATTATAAGAGATTAATAATAATGAATAAGAAAAATAAGAGAATTCTCATTACATGTCTATAATATTTGAAAGACAGAGAAGTGGTGTATATATCGTACGGACCGACGGGTATATCATTTGGCTTATGGAGGCATATATTAAATCGCGTGTCAAATGCCATCAACCAAATGCTGTGCTCTCTCTCTCTCTCTCTCTCTCTCTCTCTCTCTTATTTTACTCCCTTTCAAAAGTAAATTTCAATTTTTACACAAAACAGCATTTTATACATGAATTTGGTATTCACTGATCATTAGTTTCAGTGATTTTAAGAAAGTCTTTTTGGTAAGCGTTAGGTTGGGTTGAGTGGAGACATATCTGAATGAAGATGTGAGACATGAGTGCAATTGTGGTTGAATTACAGGAGCGATAGTGTGAGAGAGCAGTGGAGCACAAGTAGTGGACATTTGATTAATTGTTTTCTTCACGATTAATAACAAAAGCATTAACTGAGAAAAGCCTTAACTATTATAACTGTTAACCGTTGAGGGGTTGTGAGGGTTGTTAGGGCCGCACCGATCGCACCGATAGGTCTCAGAGCTATTTATTTAAGTATGAGATGTGAGAAAAGGTAAACACAGTCTAAGAGCAGACCAGCGGTTGTTAACGTTGTAAATGATACCAAACTCTATTTGTTTAAAAGCGGCTAAGAATTAAGTTTTTTTATTTGAACACAATATATGTTTTGTAATTCAATCAAATAAACATTTGTCTATAGACTAAAAGTTTCTCATTTTCTCATTTCCAGTAAACAAAGCGCCGGAATTCAGTTTCAACGGAGCGCCTCAATCAGCAGTTGCCGTCTCTAACTGTGCCTCATCTGCCAGTCTGGCAGCTGGTCTCGCGGCCGCCAACAACACCGGCAGAACCAACTTTACCACTAAACAACTCACTGAACTCGAGAAGGAGTTTCATTTCAACAAATACCTGACCCGCGCCCGAAGGATAGAGATCGCCACTGCCCTCCAACTCAACGAAACTCAGGTTAAGGTATGTCCACCAGAGCTCATCATCTAAGCTCTGTTCCTGTGATTAAACACTTTCTCGGTTTCCCTTCAGATTTGGTTTCAAAACAGAAGAATGAAACAAAAAAAGCGAATGAAAGAGGGATTAATACCATCGGACACATCGACACCACCGCCGTCGGGGACGACACAAAGCAACTCATCGGTGACGGCCACGCACTCCGACTCATCCAATGGCGCCTCTCTATCGCCGACTTCTCCCAAATTAAGTGATGGCTCTTCAGCCGCACAGTAAGCCCTCAAAGCAAACCCTATTTGTGTACTTTTGAATGAATTAAGTCACAAACAAATACCGAATTATGTATTATAAAAATATCTATTACTTTGTAAGTTTAGAAACAATACTCAGATTTTGTTTGTAGAAAAAATTATTAATTATACTCTTTTACAATCAATGTATATATGATTATAAGTGATTGGGGTTTAGGACTCCTTTTTTCATAGAACTAAACAAAAGTATAATTTTTGTGACGAGTCTTCACTCATAAACAAAGTGTTAGAATATATTCTCAATTTTATTGAAATCGTGCTAAACATGGATATTATGCTCGCGTTAATTGAGTTGATTTTTTATGTGCCATAATTATGACCATATTTTTAATGAGGACTCACATTAGGCTTTCAACTGAAATTGAAACTCAAACCGAATTATAAAGACTAAGTCTTGACACCACTGGGCAACAGGTCTTATATTAATTACTGATATAATAGCACATATTTATTGACTTCTCAAATATAAGCCTAATTGTTACGCCCATAAAAACAGGGATATACAGTATATCATACAATATAATAAGTTATACAATGTATTACACATTAAATTTTCATTACAATTGAAAATTCTGGCCTTAATTAAAACGCTTTGCTTTTATGTTAGCCTAAAATAATACAAATGATGTGAAGCTAATGTTAAATGCAAAGCGTTTACACACAAAAAGTTCCCTAAAATTAGATGTACTCTAATATTAATATAAAACTAATTGTTATGAAATCATTTAAATGGACTTTTAATGTATTTTTCTACCCTTTAAATTGAGTCAAAATGAAAACCCTTTTAAATTAATTGATAAAATTGTAACTTAAAGTTGATATGAGGTATAAAACTTGAATTTTATGATTAAAATATATATCAAAATGTAAAATAGCACTCAATTAATAAATTATAATTTAGTTCTAAATGATCATCATATTTATGTTTATTTATTTATTCATCCATTATCAGAATAATTACAAAAATCTATTTTCGATAACAAAAATATTATTCATATAATACTTATGAAAATATTTTCAATCAATACATGTGAAGAGTATTACTGTAGAGCACATCGACATCGCATAGAAAAGCATAGGGAGCACAAGGAGGCCGATGGAGAGAGAGAGAGCAAAATAGAAATGATGAATGACCAGTCCTTTTCAGCAATGCTTTAATGGACGTAAACAAAAGCAATACAGTGTTGTAATACTGTAT